CCCCCCCCCACACAACACCCCCACCACCCCCCCCCCCCCCACACCCCCACCCCCCCCCCCCCACCCCTCCACCACCCCCACCCCCAAAAAAAAACATGTCTACCGTCCCATTCAACGAAATATAATTATATACTTTTTCCAGTGTCCGCCCCCTCCCAGAAAATTCTACCCCCGCCCCCGAAAATTTCAAGTACCCCCACCCCTCTCCGGGGAGGAAAAAGTCTGAAAGAAACACTGAAACCAACCCACCCCCCACACACCACCCCCCCCCCCCCCACACCCCCCCCACACACACACACACACCCCCCCCCACCCCTCCACCCCCCCCCCCCCCCAAAAAAAACATGTCTACCGTCCCATTGCAAGAAAACCACTTTTTAGATTAGACACATTAATTAGGCGGTAATTTTGTTATAGAGTATCGATGAAGAAATTTCTTTTGAGTTGGGGAGGGGGGGGGGGGCTCAGACGTTCTTACGCGGGGGGTGGGGCTTCGCCCCTACCCGAAGAATTGTATGCAAGAAACTCTTCACGCAAACCATTTAGATTAGACAACATTTCCTTTTTATTATTCCATGTTTACGCGATAATCAATGACGTCAGTGCACTAAATGTGGCGACGTCATACTTCGTCTTTCGTTTCACTGTGAGAGTTTTTATTTTCCTTATGTTTTCTCTAGAGCGTTCTTGTCAGAATTTTTGCTTATGTTTTCTCTAGAGCGTTCCTTTTTTGCTTATGTTTTCTCTAGAGCGTTCCAGAGCGTTCTTGTCAGATAGATAGATACACAGACAGCGAAACTATTAGTATTGATATATATATATATATATATATATATATATATATATATATATATATATCACGTAAAACACTATGAAAGCGTAAAACCACCTCGATCCCCTCAATATTTAGGATTTTAAAATCATGCCACAATGGAACAGTAAGGGATCTCAAACACAAAATCTCATTTTTTTTTCTCAAAATAAGAAAACTGTGACAACTGTGGTTTATCCATTGTGGTTTTAGTATGTTTTTCTTCAAAGTTAGGTTTCGTGCTTGTTTATGTGTGCATGTGTATGTATATCAGTGCTTAAGTTCCCAGATAGCAGTCACATTTTTACAGCGATACGTCACTTTTTCTATACTAACGCAGTGTGGCGTTATCAACAAATGGAAGTTGTTTTTATTTTAAAAACTAAATCCATGATGTAGAAAAAGACTTACAGAACTCAAACCTAACCCATACTAGTTTTAATATTTGCGCCTATACCTACTACAATATAAAGGAGGCCTATTAAATCATATATGTAAAAGTTGCCCTATTTGAACGTGACAGTTCAGGGGCAGATGAAGTAGAGTTTATCTGTTTCTGTGACCGACCTCATGAAGAGATTACTTTGGTCAGCGCTATGCCCAACCGCCTTTACTCTCCATAACGTGAATAAGGTACTCATCAAAAGATGGGTGAACTCAAATCAAATATAATCACACTAGGCATGCTGCCCAGCTTCGCTTAGGCTTTCGAAAACATTGAGAATTTGAATGCTTAATTAATTCGCCCGAAGGTCGGTCTACGACCTCAAGAGTTATGAAGAGGTTCCTCCGTGGACATTTTTTTTCGATTTATAGCTCATATAAGGTACCGGTCAGTCGAGGTCAGTTTTGACCCCCACATCGTAGACTTTTCGGCCAACCGGCCCCCGTGTTCTGTCGCACCAAGGCAAGATCATGCCAAATTTGAAGCGCCTGCGGCGCCGGGAAGTGCCCTATCGGACACCCGACAATCTAGATCTAGATCTAGATTCCTAAAAGAATTTTTTTTTTAAATTTAGCCCGAGCATAATAAAAAAGAATACATTGACTTGCTGTGTCTCGAACCCGCACCACCTGCGTGGTTTAATGTACACTAACATCTCCGCTATTTAGGCACCTTATAAAATACGGAGAATGAAACACGTATTTTAAAATCTTAACTTACGCGAATATGCCTATTCTTTCAAATTAATTTTTTATCCCAAATTAGCCAGTTCCAAACAAAGATTTTGTATAAAATAAATAAGTCTTGAAATAGTTTAGTCCTAATATAGACATTTATTTTTGGAATTGATTTTAGAGAAGTTAGAGTCTAAATCTAGATCTTAGCGTCTACGTCTAGATCTAGTTATTGCGTAGATTTAGATTTAGATTTAGTCTAGATCTAGAATCTCTAGATCTAGAATCCAAATACATAAAATAAATTTTATGAGTTTAGGCCGGAAAAATTGTATTGTATACATTTCATAGTGTACGTAGATCTAAATCAAATTTGAATGAAATAGTTCATTTCTTTTCATTCTTAACACGGCAGATGACGTCATTAGTTAATGTATAAGCAATAGTGACGTCACAGTTTTATGCGTTCTTTTTCACATATATTAATGCTTTTCCGGTTGCATAAATAATACTGTTTCTCTACATTCGAATACGCCTTAAATTTTTATTTTTCTTCTTTAAGTAAAATTGTGGTTATACATTTAAAACATCTAACATATTATTTTCAACAAAAGTCCGTAAAACATTCTCGATATATCGCTGCCGATTCTGACGTGATGTCCGGCGAAAATTTTTTGCGGACAGAGAAAGAGAGAGAGAGAGAGAGAGATGTGCGCACATTGGGCTTTTATAAATTAGGATATGTCTGTGTATTGAAATAAAATAATACTTAACAATACATATTTTATACACACAATTTTTATTTATCCATTGCGTGAGGTACCATAGACCTTCTACGCCACTGGGATTTCGTAAACAGATAGGTTTTATGATAATGTAATCGCGCGCGTCCTCTAGGTCAATATAGACAGCCATTTTGACCCACATTTGGCTTGCAGACGATATCTCACATCCGGTTATAAGCGAGCCAATCATGTCGTCGTCAAGCCGTATAAATTCGAGAAGATTCGTTCCAATTTCGCTAAGAAAGCATAACAGTACGATATTGAGTTTTCTCATTCCATCTAAGATATCTTTTAGCTGGAATATCCTAGGCATCTGTCATTAATTAAATGATGTTGTTCTAAAATGAGAATGAAACGAAACCAAATGTCGCAACAACAAACAATGAAGATATTTTCTTTGTTTTTAGTTGAAATTAATCTAAGGACGAATTGCATGCTGGTCAGTGGTTAAGGATCAGCGGTGACAGGCATATGTTTAAAAATCTGGCCATCGTTGTCTTGTGCCTGTCCTTGTTTTGTTTTGCCGTGAATCCTTTCTGGCATTTTTTTTATTGTTCTGTTGATTTGTTGTTTAGTTTAGAGTGTTTGTTTTGTATGTTTGTTGTTGTTGTGTTTTGTTTGTTGTTGATGGTGTATGTGTCTGTTTAATTTTTTTCTTAGTGTAGGTCAGTTCAATAGTTTAGTTCATTTTCAAAATTTAATTTACACGCCTTTTGTAAACCTTGTTTTTTTTTTTTTTTTTTTTTTTTTTTTTTTTTTTTTTTTTTTTTTTTTTTTTTTTTTTACTGTATAGCGCTGTTTAGGTCCGTGTTCTAGAAGTGTGTTAAACCCATTGATAGTAGCATTAAGTACTATCAGATAATTGGCCAAGCTGTGCCGTCCAGTAGATGTTATATTAAGCTGAATGTTTGGATATTGTTCTAAACAAGTATGAGTTGAAACATACTTTATGATGATATTTCTAAACCCCAGGCTATTTGTGATTCTCATTTTATCAACGGATTTAAAAAAATTCCTCTTTAGACCTAGCGATTCTTTGGGCACATGAAGTGGATTTTATAATGTTTCTTGACCTCTCCATATGAAGGGATGGTGTGGTCAACAATTTGCCCAGCCGCCTTTACTTTCCCTAACATGAGTTAGTTACTTATCAGAGCTGGGTGGACTCTGGGACGTTTTATTACTTTTACTGTTGGCGAGATTATATTGCCTGTAGCTTTTATTTAAGCTTTCTGACACTTATTTATTTCTCTTATTTTATCGGTTGAACGGAAAATAAATTGAAAAGTGTTCAACCTTCAGTATGTTTCAATTATACTATGCACTACAGTACTACATACGACCTAAATCTATGTGTATCTTGAAATACAGCTAGCTTTATCTGATAAAGAAATCAGTTTGAAGACGAGGAAGCCATTGTATTGAAACGTCATTGGTAATTGTTTTGACTTGCTTGACTGCTTACACATTCTGTGATGCGTTTTTTTTTTTTTAAACATAAAGCATCTTCTTTTTTCGTTCTTAATTCTAGTGTTGGAAGGGATCGAACACAATTACATATTGAGTGTCAACCTGTTATGCGCCATTTAGCCTGCTCACACATGAAACGAAAATGAAAGATATAATCCCAAAACCCCATGTCTCCGTCCAACCATGTATGATTTTCTAACCCAAAACCTTAACTTTATAGTTATTTCTATGAGCGATATCCGTATAACTGTGTATCATTTTCTAACCCTAAACCTTAACTTTATAGTTATTTCTATGGGCGATATCCGTATAACCGTGTATCATTTTCTAACCCTAAACCTTAACTTTATAGTTATTTCTATGAGCGATATCCGTATAACTGTGTATCATTTTCTAACCCTAAACCTTAACTTTATAGTGTTATTTCTATGCGCGATGTCGGTATAACATTGTATCATTTTATAACCCTAAACCCTAACTGTATAGTGTTATTTCTATGAGCGATATCCGTATAACCTTGTATCATTTTATAACCCTAACCCTTAACTTTAAATCCGTATAACCGTGACTCATTTTATAACCCTAACCCCTAACTTTAAATCCTTCTAACCCTAACTCATTTCATAACCCTCAACCCTAACTTTAACTACCGTGTTAGACTAGTACAGAGCGGAGAAGCAAGTAGAAGCTAACGTCCGAATAAACATTCCGTCAATCATAACGAAAATAAATAATAAATCAGATTTCCCCCCCCCCCCCCACCCTCCCCCACCCTCCTCCCCACCACCCAGACACCGGAAATGAGCTGAATTTACCTGACGAACGGGTCGCAGGCGTTGTCCACCCCTTGCGTCCTGCTGGGCAAGTTCCGGGCCTTGATCAGGGTGACCATCAGCTTCTCGGCCTCCCGCTCGTACTCGGTGGCGAACCAGACACGCCCGATGTGCTCGCTGGGGATGTCGTAGTCGTCGTCCTCGTCGGCCACGCGATACAGCGAGGGATCGATACTGCCCAGGGCGTAGGCGCCTAATGAAATACAAGTTATTTAATTAGTGGAAGGGAATTTTCGGGATTAATTTTTCGTCCAGTATTTGAAGGGTTAGTAAAAAAAAATGAAATGAAAATAAAGGATGTATCGTATTAAGTTTTAATAGGGAAGGAATATCTTGAGTAAACAACTTAAAAATGAAGTTCAGGGTTAGAGAGTGGGGTGTCGACTTACAAATCTGTAGGCAGATATGATAAAGTGTGTGTTTGTGTATTGTTTTTATGTACTGACAGTTCTTTCAGTAGAGCTGCTAGTTTTGTGAATGGTTGAGGCCGATTAGTGGTAGCCTTACATGATTGTGGGTGGCACATGATTGTGGGTGCTACATGATTGCAGTGAGGGGGGGGGGGGTACATATGTTCCCGGGCGCTGACCTTAGGGGGCGCCAAAATGGGTTGGAAAAATAAATTGAAAGGTTGAGGGGGGTCTAAATTGAAAGTTTGAGGGGGGGGGGTGCAAATGAAAATCTTGAGGAGGGGGGGTGCAAATGACTGTGGGTGGTACATTTTTGTGGGTGGTACATTTTTGTGGGTGGTACATGATTATGGGTGGTACAGGATTGAGCGTGGTGCGTGATTGTGGGTGTTACATGATTGTGGGTGATACATGTTTGTGGTCATTAGTGTTCCATGACTGTGCATGATGATGGCCATTAGCGATTCGTGATTGTGGGTGATACCTGATTGTGGCCATTAGTGGTGATTGATAGTGGCTATTAATGATATGTGGTTGTGACCATTAATGATACACGATTGTGCCCAGTATATTAGTTGTATATTATTGTGGCCGTTAGTGCTGCATGATTGTGGCCACCGTTGAGCGCACCATGAGCGTCACCATCAACATTTCATCATCCCATGTTTAAAGGGCCGCTAATTATACATTGTCCTGGCCATGAAACAAGGTGCAGCACTGCCCAGCTTAGACAAAAATCTGTACACCTACAAACTAACCCATCATTTGTTAGAACGGCCGTCATTTGTCTGGGTTAGCTCCCCCTGTTTGTGTTTTGGGCGAGACCGTCAATCGTGAACGGTTTTTTCTCGTTCTATTTTTAGCTTGCTGACGTTATCGCGGATCCTGGATGCGCGCGCAGCATTCTTTGGTTGCGTCCCCCTTCAAGTGGCTTGCGGCGATTAATGAAGGGTTTAGATTGCATACCTGACAAGCTGACCACTGGTCAGGTTATTGGGTCCATGGGGAAATTCCCGTGAGTTTTTGGTTGGGGCGAAAATGGTTGTTGCGTTTAATGGGGATGTGTACTTCATCGGCCCTCGTTAGGTTGAAAGGCAATTATTGGCGGGGATCGACGTTTGAAAACTTTTGAAAATAGATGTTTGGTGTCATCTCATATGGGCGTTGTGTTGAACGACGGTTGCAAATTTACATCGAATCCAAATAACTTAACGTCTCACCACTTACATCTTAACATCACCACTTACATATTAACGTCACCACTTACATCTTAACGTCACCACTTACATTTTAACATCTCACCACTTACATCTTAACGTCAACACTTACATCTTAACGTCTCACCACTTACATCTTAACATCACCACTAACGTCACCACTTACATCTTAACGTCACCACTTACATCTTAACGTCTCACCACTTACATCTTAACGTCACCACTTACATCTTAACGTCACCACTTACATCTTAACGTCACCACTTACATCTTAACGTCACCACTTACATCTTAACGTCTCACCACTTACATCTTAACGTCACCACTTACATCTTAACGTCACCACTTACATCTTAACGTCACCACTTACATCTTAACGTCACCACTTACATCTTAACGTCCCACCCCTTACATCCCAACCTCACCTCTACCCAACAGATAAAAAAAAACACGCGGACCGCCAAGAGATCAATAAACTGCTCGACGCTGCCAGGAAGCCAAGATGTGGTCACAGCGACAAATCTCTGTTAACAACGTCTTGCTCGGCAATCCTGGAATCAAAGTGCCATAAATTCCGGACCAGACGGCATCAAGATGCGGCCAGGTCTATCTCTGACTTGTGCTCCGTGCGCGGAGCTAATGTGTATGCACGTGCCGATAGCCGTCGTCACATCAAATCTGAATCGTATGAGTCATTTTGAAGAAGAAAAAAAAATTCGGCTTTTTTTTTCTTTTTTGGCAAGTCAGTCGTGCAGAGATTTTTTTTTTCTCTTATAACATCTTTATTCAAACCGTATTTTTCTTTCATTCCGATGGTTAAATCGTTCAGATGTTACGGCTTAGAGACCAGGTAATACAAACAAATATTCTGATTATCAAACTGACAACAGACTTCCTGAAAAAGACATTAGTCGAGTGTATTTAAACCAGACAGCAAAAAGATCCGCGTTGAATTTCAAAAGCGGAAGAAATCGATTACTGTTTTCTTCTCGAGTATCGTATCAAACAATCTTCGGGCGAGTTATTAAATCTAATTATCAGGCAGAGATTATTTTTTTTTTTGGAAAAAAACATGTTGATAGCCTGAGGTGTAACGACTCGATAAAGCCAAAATTTGTAAAAAATTTGGCCAATTATAGGATAACGTTGTTTCCATCTAGTTCTTGTGGAGAACTTTAAACTTTGATTTTAGGCGAGTTAACAGTATATAAACATCGGGATTTTGTAGATATGCACATATATGTATATATATATATATATATATATATATATATATATATATATATATGTAACTAGGGGAAGTTACCAGAGACATAAGAACGCAGTACAGCGCTGTCAACTTTGACACGACTGATGCAATAACACAGGTGTTGGCTGATAACGATCAGAAAGCCAAGGCGTAGTATCTTGGGAAGCGATACGATAAGAACGCAATACGGTCTGTCAACTTTGATGTGACAGGATGCAGATGGCTTATTAAATCGGACTGTACGACAGAAGCGGCGTAATTAACATTCTGATGCAACGATTAGAATCGATTACGATTACGATTATGATAGAACCGAATACGATTACGAATACGAAGGGGATATATAGGAAGGCGACGGCTGAGGTCGGGGTGTGTGGCTCTCTCTCTCGATCAGTCAGTCAGTGTGGCAGTATCAAGTTGGTTATTGAACGGGTTAGCCGTATTGTGTTAAGAAGGACGATAGACATGTGCATTCAGTTATGTGAAGACTAGTGAGGACTGTTGGGGGTCAGTTGATTCAGACTATTATTGTGAAGCATTCCTTTTGATTCATTATATTATTGTGAAGCATTTCTTTGATTCATGTAATAAAAGGATCAATAGCGAACCTGCATCTTCGAGTATCTATACTGTGGTCGATGTTGTGTAGAATGAGTGGTTAGACTCGGTAACATTTGGCGTTGTCGAGCAGAACTCGTTAACATTTGGCACTACAGGCAAATAGTCTCGTTACATTTGGCGCTGCGGACAGGATGAATTCAACGAGACCTGCCGCTTGAGGCACCCATAGTCAACCTTGTTCATAACTGTGTTTCGTGTGTGTGTGAATTCGGACATTCAGGAACAGTGAAAATTGAGGAACGAGGAAAATTTTTCATACACACACGGTAAGAAAGAACTCTTTTTTTTTTTACTCAAGGAATAAAATGTCTACTCTGGACGAGAAGCAGACCCATATTGTGGTCCTGCCCAGAGAGTCCCACATTAACAAATTTTACGGGGACGGTGATCCAGCTTTAACCAACAGGTTCAGTGAAGAGGTCAAAGCGGCCTGGGCCTCGAGACACATGTCACCAGAGGAAAGATTAAGACTGCTGATGGGCAGTATAGGAGAGACGGTTAGGGCAGAGGTCAAATGCCACGATAAAACCATCCAATCAGATCCAGATAAGGTGCTGGATCTAATCATGGAGACCTTTGGGGAGAGACGGTCGGGATCGCAACTGCTATCGGGGTTCGTAGGCTTAAAGCAGAGAATGGCGGAGAGTGTGATGGAGTATTCACACCGTATGAACAGGGCCTTTGATTCGGTAAAGGGCAAAACACCTGACATTGATGTACGCCTACTGAGGGACCATTTCATCGAGGGGCTAGCAACCCCGATCTTAAGGAGAGAGTTGAAAGAGGAGGTCCACAAAGACCCGCAGTTGACCTTCCTTCAGGTCAGGAACTCAGCGATCCGCAGGTCCGAGGATGAGGACCAATCGAACTGTTCGGTGGACAAAGTCTCTGTGCCGGAACATAAACCATCCCCACCCACAGGGACCGGCACAGTGGAAACCATGATGGCTCAACTGTTGGCCCACCTGGATAAGGTTGACCAACGATTGGAGAGGTTAGAAAGCAGGTCAACAGCTGAGAATCAGGAAAAGAACGGGACAAAACAGAGACAGGTTGGACGGCCGCGACCCGCCGGTCCATCGCTCCGGTGGACGGCTGACGGTCGACCAATTTGCTTGTCCTGTTCACAACCCGGACATATGGCACGGTACTGTCAGGGAAACGGTCGTCCTCTGTAAGGCAGGGCCAGGCTACAGAGGGGCGAGGTTATGGCCCAAGAAACAAAATGATGGGAGTCTGTCCCGAAATGGTGATTACGATTGGGGACATCGCGGTGAAGGCAATTGTGGATACAGGCTCCCAGGTGACGACAATTACGGAAAATTTTTACACCAAATGGATGAAAGGAAAAGACCATAGGTTGAGGTCTGACACATGCATGCGCCTGACGGCAGCTAATGGACTAACCATTCCATACTGTGGTTATTTTCTGGCGGATGTCGTGGTGGCGGGACATAGGTTGAAGCAGGTTGGGGTGTTCGTTACGAAACACAACCTAGAGACAAATGTGTCAAATATACCTTGCCTGTTGGGCATGAATATTCTTGGCCAGTTGCCAGAATTTCTTACAAATATTGTCGGATCGACCACACCAGGTCGGGGATCCAAGTTGGCCAGGTTTGCCAAGACCAGAGGAAGGATATCAGTCCCGGCAAACACGGTCAAGGCAATCACATTACAAATTGGTGATAGAAGC